TGAAAGCTGGTTTTGTTCACTGCAAGTGACGGACACTCAGCTTAAATGGACTTCATCTTCTTGGGGTGGAGGAGTTCAGGCACAGCTGGATCCAGGACTTCCAACCACAGTACAGGGAATTTCTGCTGCCCCTCTTGGCTCAGTGTCTCCCTGGCCTGGCTTCTCCCTGGCCCTTGGTAGGAGCCACCAGCAGCTCAGGCTCACACCCCTCAGCTCAGGCAGGAAGTGAGGGTCTCTTTCCCAGAAAAAAAAATCTCAGAGCTGACTCCTCCTGGTTTGCTGAATGCTAGATGACCCTAATTGGTTCAGCCTGGGTTGGTGCCCACTCCTGGGATCCTTCAGGTTGGGAGCACAGGAGGTGATTACTCCAAGGAAAATCTGGTGCTGGGACCAGAAGAGGGGCGATGCCAGCCACAGTCTGGGGGCTGGCCATCATTGTCCAGTCCGGAATAGGAGGGCATTGCCCCACAGCTCAGCACATGGGTCCTGGAATCTTGCTTATCTGGTAGTGATGCCAGTCTTAAAAACGTGGGGCTTTGTGATTGCCAGAAAGTCACTTTCCTTCCTCCACCCTCTGTATAATGGAAGCCTGTCTCACGGCATCACGGTGAGTGGCAAAGGAAACTCATCAGGCATCTCCCCTGGACAAACACCTATCTGCTAATCAATAAGTATCTGTACACACATGTCACGCCCCTGCTGTGCACCATGCACTGTCCCTAGCATCCTGGCTGGAATCGGCAGTAACAGGATTTGTGCCCATTTTACAGATGAGAAAATGGGGCACAGAGAGGTCACACGTGGTCTGGCCAAGGTGCACATCCTGTACCAGGCTTCCACCAGAAGGGTCCTTCTCCCTGCAGGCCTCAAGGTCACCTCCTTGCAGGCCCCACAGCCTTGCTGCTCCCAGGGCCTCTGCTCTGCCACCTGCCTTCATGCTTGTGTTCACTCCCCTGTTTGTCTCCAGCCAACAGGGACCCTATCGCTGTGGCACTAGGCCCAATTTGTACAGCCTGCCTACTGCTTCTGTGACAAATTGCCCCCTACTTGGCAACTTAAAACAACACAACTTTTCCTCTTCTCGTTCTGGAGGTCAGAAGTCCAACATGGGTCTCACTGAACTAAAATCAAGGTATTGGTACAGTCTAATTCCTTCTGGAGTCTCGGGGGTGGGGGGGTCTGTTCTTGCTTTTCCAGCTTCTACTCTTTAAATTCTCTGAAGATTTTCTTTATTTGAGAGCAAGAATGAGAGTGCAAAATTGGGGGAAGAAGAGGGGGAGGGAGAGAGAGAACCCCAGCTGACTCCCCACTGAGCGTGGAGCCCAACACAGGGCTCGATCCCAGGACCCTGAGATCATGACCTGGGCCAAAGGCAGCTACTTAACCAACTGAGCCCCCCAGACACCCCAGCAAGTGCCCTCCTTCATGCCCATCATCCACCACCTCCCTCCATCAACTCTCACTTTGTTCTCTACAGTTAACAGTCTCTTAGGGGCGCTTGGCTGGCTCAGTCTGTAGAGCATGCAACTCTTGGTCTCAGGGTTCTGAGTTCAAGTCCCATGTTGGGCATGGAGTCTACCAAAAACAGGAAAAAAAAGAAAACTTTTATGGTTTGCGATTGTATGCTATTTGTCCTTCTCTGACTGACTTACGCTTTTCCAGCTTCTGGAGGCTGGAACCCTCCTGGGTTCGAGGGTCCTCCCTCTTTGTCCATGGCCGGCAACGGCAGGTCACATGCATCTCTTTGACCACCGAGGGAAATGGTCTCTGCTTTTGATGACCCTCTGATTCCACTGGGCCCACCTGTGCCATCCAGGACCCTCTCCCCAACCAAACGTTTGAGGCGGGCTTTGTCTTACCCATAGCACGAACATCCGACCACTTCTGTCCCCGTGCCCCTTTCCTCACCATTGTTTAGTCTAGTGTGATTTAAATGTCCTCCTCCTCTAAGAAGTCAGCCTTGACCTCCCCAGTCTGCACTAGGCCTAGCGCCCTCCATCAGAACTCTGATCGCTCTGGATGGTCATGGCCTGTTTTCTGTGGGGTCTGGAGGAGTGAAGCCTAGGGCCGTGGGGAGTCCTGGTGGATGTCTGAGCTGGGGAGGAGCCTTATGGTAGACAGCTGTGGTAGGAAGCGGGCTGCCAGGGATGGGGCTGAGGCCAGTTCAGGGTGGAGAGGAGGGCATGAAAAGAGGGCTCCTCAGTGAGGGCCAGTGACTTGCTTTAGGTCACCTAGCACATGGCCTCTGGGTTGGGGAGACATGCCAGGTCGGGTGGGGGCAGGAGCTGCTGGCAACTACTCTCAGTTCAGAGCCCACGCCAGGCTGACAATAACCCTTTGGTGTGTACCACCCAGGCTGGGGCAGCTGAGCCATGGCAGGGCCAGGTCTCGGCCAAGGTCGCAGTGTCTGGCTCTGGCACACCCTTGATGAGAACATCAGGTCCCATCCCTGCCCCACCCCCCAGCCAGGGGAGAATCCCCTCACACAGTCAGAGATCAAGGACAGGCCAAGACGGCTGGGTGTCCTCCCTCAGTGCCACTGGGCAGGAGCGTGGCCCCTGGCCACTGGTGGGGGCACATGGGGCAAGATGAGCTGCTGACATGGAGGAAGGGGTCCCGGCGTGGCCTACTCGGTGGCAGATCGCATGCACGTGGGAGGTCTGGAATCTTTGGCTTCCGCACCTGGGGCTGGGGGCGGGGAGGGGGTGATGCAGCAACAGCAGGTCACCGCCCGTGAAAGACCCCATCGCTCTCGTCTTTTTTATGTTCCTGAAAGCATTGCCACTCTTCAAAGTTATCTATTAACTTGTTCGTCTCTGTATTTTGTTTTTCCAGCCCTTACAAACCGCGGGCTTGGTGATGACAAGACTGGGTCAGCCTTGGTCATTCTGGCACCCCAGCACCCCCAACAACCCTTGCCATAGGAGACTGTCTTGATTTCTTACAAATTCAAACAGAGAGGGGCTGTACAGGACCCATGAACATTCGGAGAGGGCCCTGACAATTGGGGGCAGGGAGACCCACAGATAGGAGGGATGAACTCCCAAAGAGGAGGAACATCGGGCTGACCCGCCCCCCAGTGGATTCAGTTCTTTCCAGGACCATGCTGCTGTGCGGCGTCACTGTCACAGATTGTGGGAAGGCTGGGACTCCCGGAGGCGGAGGGCTCCGGGTACAAGGAGCACAGGACCTGAGGAGAGGAAAAAACCCGAAGCCAGTAAGGGCTTTCCGATGTGGCCTGGGAGGACAACGTGCAAAGGTCTGGGGGTGGGGGTGGGGGTTGGTGCCATCTCCCAAAGACCAGGCTGGGGGACGGGGGCACACTCTGCAAGTGCTGCTTAAGGCTCCCCTATGTCCCCGACGCCGGGGCCATTTGTGGCTCTGGGTCTCCTGCTGCCGCACCCCGCACCCCTCCGCCTCCGCGGCCAGCCAGCCCCCGCCCACCCGTGCCTGCTCGCACCCAGCCGAGCCCACGGGCTCCAGCGGCCAGGGGCCCCGGGGCGTGAGTGGGTGGGTGTTGCTGCGGCTGAGGTCTCTGGAGTGTGTGGGCGCCTAGGGCCGGGGAGGAGGTTAGGGGCCCAGATCGCGCCTGGGCCGCATGAGCGACCACTTGCAAACCACGACGTGATACACGGATCCGCAGACCCGCTCCCCGTGGGTCTCCAGCTCCTCAGCCGCAGCCCTCCGGCTGAAGACACCCCCTCCCCGTAAACGCAGGGTAAGCCCCGTAAATCACGGTCTGGCCCCCCTGGCGCTGGCCACAGGGACACCTTCCCCGAGCCTCGGGCTCCCGGGGCTGACCCCCGCCCCACCCCCGCAGCTGTCCTCGGGGTGGCCAGGCCCAGCCCTTGCACACACCGGGCGCGACACGGCCTCGCGCCCCGCCCCGCCCCGGCCCCGCCCCGCCCGCAGCCCGCGGGACCTTTATAGGGAGCGCCCGGCCGCCGCGCGCTGCGAAGTCGGTGCCGCCGCCCTCCCAGCCGCCCGCCCGCGCGTCCGACGCCGTCTCTGCGTCCGCCATGCGTCCCGGGACGCCGGGGCCACTGTGGCCACTGCCCTGGGGGGCCCTAGCTTGGGCCGTGGGCTTCGTGGGCTCCGTGGGCTCGGGGGACCCCGCGCCCGGTGAGTGGGGCGGCCGGAAGGGGCGGACGGGGTGGGCCACCCACGTGGGCCTGCCCGGGAATGCTGGCCTTGGGGGAGATGTGGGGGGGGGGCGCGGCGGCGGTGGCGGCTGGTGATGGGAGGCCTCCTCAGGTTCAGTCTGGGAGGGCTTGGGGCTCCCCTCCCCCAGCCCCAAAGGGCCTGAAGAAGGGTCACCACGAGGTCAGCAGATGTGGCTCTTTCACAATGGTCAAGAGGAGTAGTCACAATGACTGCTGACATTTATTGGGTGCTGTGTCTAACCCTCCGAGAATGCATACCATAGCCCAACTGTGCGTGTGCGCTCATCATGCCCATTTCCCAGATGGGGAAACTGAGGTGCAGGGTCACCCAGCTTATAAGTGGCAAACTCAGGACTCGAACCTGAACCACTTGAGTCCTGAAGACCCGGAGAGGTGGGGCTGGGTGGCTGGACCCAGGACTTCCACCTGAGGTCTCATATCTTCCCCAGGTTTGGCTTAGATAAATGGGCTGTTGGAATCCCACAGCAGCCGCTTGTTGGGGGATGCTGGGCAAGGAACAGCCCCAGTCCTGGCCTCAGTTTCTCATTTTGTAAGATGGGTGCCAAGGTGCTGAGCTCCCAGAGCGGGTCCCTGTAAGGCGCTCAGCACAGCGCCTGGGAACCAGTGAACTCTCTGGGCTGGGGGCTGTGGCCTCTCCTGCCCCCATTTAGAGTGCAGAAACTGAGGCCTCTCTGCCTGTCCACCCCAGCCAGCAGCCCCACCCCAGCCCCGCTCGAAGGGGAGAGCTGAGCCCCCTCCCCGAAGGCCGTGTCCCCAGGGAGATGGTGAGCTCATGCAAGGGGAATGTTCCCAAGTTGGAGTGAGTAAGAGGCGGGCCAGGCAAGGGGGGGGCTGCCAGGCGAGGGGGGCTCTGCGTGCCCTCGGGTGCTGTCTAGACAGAGGGCAGAGGCGGAGAGGCGGCTGCAGGGCCCACTGACCCTGACACGTCCAGCTCTGGGCGTTTGGCTGGTTGGGCAGGATGCCAGGCCTGGGCCTGGGGGCCTGGAGCGACAGAAGGTGGGAAGAGCTTCCCACCACGAGTTGGGGTTGTGTGGGGGGTGGAGCTCCGAGAAGACAAGGAATCCCAGAAGGATGGCAAAAGGATCCAGAGCTGAGCTGGGATGGGAGCACCCAGTGCAGGTCTCTGGCCCTCCTTCCCAGCTTGGGAGCAAATCATCCCTCTGTAGTTACTGAGCACCAACTGTATGCAGCCCCCAGGGCCGGGAGCTGGGTGTTGGGAGTGGTGCAGGAGGGCACCCCTGGTGTGGCAGTGACCGCCCTCCGGTGCACAGGTGGCGTGTGCTGGCTGCAGCAGGGTCGAGAGGCCACGTGCAGCCTGGTGCTGAAGACCGACGTCAGCCAAGCGGAGTGCTGTGCCTCCAGCAGCATTGACACTGCTTGGTCCAACTTCACTCACCCGGGGAACAAGATCAGCCTCCTGGGCTTCCTGGGCCTCGTCCACTGCCTCCCCTGCAAAGGTGAGACCATGGGCGTCAGCCACAGGTCAGGGTCACTGGGGGACAACTGGGAATGAGCTCCCCATCTCAAGGGTATGCAGAAGGAGGCTGAGTGTTTGTGGAGGGAATCCAGGGTTCAGAGAGAGGCTGGGGACTTGAGGTTCCCCGGCCTCAGCCTCCATCATCTGAGGACTCAGGAAGAAACTCTGAGGGCTCCCCAGCCTCGTTTCTGGCCTGCCGGGGTGAGCTTTCCCTCCTGCACCCCACCTGGGAGAAATGCACTGGACTCACACCTGACTCTGGGGACGGTGGGCTTTCTCGACCGGCCGCTTGGCTCTGTCGCCTCGTCCCCCAGTCAGTGTTCCCAACACTTCGTCTGCCCATAGCCCCTGAGATTCCAAGGATCTGTGCTGGGACGAGAGATGCGTGTTTTAACAAGCATGCGCCTTCTGGACCATGTTCTGAGAAGTGTTCTCGGCTGCCTCCTCCATCAGACTAGGAACTCCTTGAGGGCCGAATGCATGAATGAGCCAAGACACGTGCTCGGCCTTGGAGAGGGGCTGGGGCCCTCCCGGGCCTGTGGTCTGGGCCGGACATGCAGGGGCCCAGAGGTGGTGTGGGGCCATGGCTTGAAGGAGGGGGGCATTAGTACTAGGGTGCTGGGGCGTCATAAGGAGTTTGCTAGCTGGAGACAGTATGGGATCGGGCCCTAGTGGGTGGGGCCAGTGCAGGGAGGAGACTGCCGCTGGGGGCCAAGCTGAGAGCCCAGCTGGTCACTGGGATGTGACCAGTCTGATCAGTCTGGCTGGGTGGTCTTGGCTCACTGCCATCTGCCCTGGCTCCCTCCGGAACCGCCGCTGGGCTCTGGGAGGACCCAGCGGCGGTTCTGGAGGGAGCAGACCTAAAAAATCGGCGGGCCTAGGCATAAGGTCCAGGTCATCCCGCCCCCCCATCTCATCTGGCCTTGGGGAAGGCAACTCAGTTCTCCCACTTCCGTTCCTGCTTGTGAAGCCACCCAGGGGGAGTGTTTCCAGATGTGTGTGTGGGCAAGCAGTATGGGAGGTGCCCAGGTGCGGCCCACATGCCCTGGCAGGGGTGACATGGGGGCGCCAGCACACACTCTCATTTTATGCGCACGCTTCCCCAGTCAGCCTCACTTTACACACGGGGAAATTGAGGCTGAACTCAAGAGCTCGAGTCTGCCCTCCAGGACCACAAGCAACAGAACTGGGGAGGGGGCCATCTGGGGTCTGGCCTGGAGTTTTCGTTTGGAGGAGCCCTTGGCTCGCGTCCACTCACAGCTGTGACGGGGCCTCAGTTTCTCCCTTTTGTAAAATGCTGACAAGACGGCATCACCTCGTGGGGTGGGGGTGGCTGGGAGACTGCAATGAGCCTGGGAAGGTCTGTAAGGGGAGCCGCCCATCAGTGGGGCTGGGGCTGAGTCTGGTCTGCATTTCCCAAGGTCCGGGGAGAGGGGTGCTGGGTGGAGTTGGAGACCTCAGAGAGAGAATTGCCCTGCCCAGGCCTGTTTCCCTGCCTGAGAAATGGGGGGGGGCAGGGGTAACCCCTGGTTCATCAGGCCCGGGATGTGGGAAGCCCCCTCCCCAGGAAATGAGCCTCAGGGCCCAGTGCCAACGCCCCGCCCTCCCCGACGCCTCCTCGGGGTTGGTCCTGGCAGGCCCGGGGAACGGACGCTGCCCGTCCTCCCCAGACCCGCGCACGGACCCAGCGGGGCCCCCCTCCGCTGACGCAGCCGGGGCCCCCGCCGGCCGTCCCTTCCCGGCGCGTAGATCAGGGAACAGGCGCCAGCCCGAGCGGGTGGCCCAGCTGCGGAGCGCGAGCGGGACCGGGCCCTGGAAGCTCGTTCCCGAACCCCCCGATTCCGGGCAGACACCCCCCCCACCGCCCCGTTCCCGCCCACTCTGAGCCCCGCCTCCAGAGCCCCAGCCTCGACTCCCGCCCCACCCGGCCCAGGGCTGATCTCGTCCCCAACGGATCCCGCACGCACAGCCCGAACCAGCCGCCCTCGCCTGTGCTCCCCGGCTCCGGCCCGGCCCCGGCTCCGCGCGGCCTCCAGCCTCCGAAGAGGGGACCGGGGCTCCGCGGACCTCCGGCCTCGGCCACGCGCCCCCATCCCATGCGCGCGTGCCCTGTGTCCGCAGATTCGTGCGAGGGCGTGGAGTGCGGCCCCGGCAAGGCATGCCGCATGCAGGGGGGCCGCCCGCGCTGCGAGTGCGCGCCCGACTGCGCGGGGCTCCCGGCGCGCCTGCAGGTCTGCGGCTCGGACGGCGCCACCTACCGCGACGAGTGCGAGCTGCGCGCCGCGCGCTGCCGCGGCCACCCGGACCTGCGCGTCATGTACCCGGGACGCTGCCGCAGTACGTGGGAGCGGGGCCGGCGGGCGGGGCGGGGCCGGCGGGCGGGGCGGGGCCGGCGGGCGGGGCGGGGCCTAATAGCTGGCTTCCCGGGAGGGCGCCTCTGGATTGGGTCAGCTTTGGGTCGGCCGGAATGAGGAAAACCGGGGTGCGGTTTTGGAAGGGGAGGTCTGGGGCTCACGTGGGGTGGAAGATAGGAGTGCGTGACTCAGGGCGGGGCTTGCGGACGCGGCCAGAGGGGCGGGGCTTGGGTGCGGCCGAAGTGCGGGCGAGGCGCGCGGAAGGGGTGTGGTTTTCGCCCGGGGGCGGGGTCTGGGTGGAGCCTGCCTGCGGCCCGACCGCGCCCCTGACCCGCCCCCGCGCCCCGCTCGCAGAGTCGTGCGCGCACGTGCTGTGCCCGCGGCCGCAGTCGTGCGTGGTGGACCAGACGGGTAGTGCTCACTGCGTGGTGTGTCGCGCGGCGCCCTGTCCCGCGCCCTCCAGCCCCGGCCAGGAGCTTTGCGGCAACAACAACGTCACCTACATGTCCTCGTGTCACCTCCGCCAGGCCACCTGCTTCCTGGGCCGCTCTATCGGCGTGCGCCACCCGGGCAGCTGTGCAGGTGCGGCGCGGAGCGGGGAGCGGTGGCGGGGTCCAGCGTCCCGCCCCTCTCCGCGCCCCCATTTTTCTTTTCTTCCCCCCCGCTCTGCAGGCGCCCCTGGGCCGTCAAACGCAGAGTCGGAGGAGGAGGAGGAGAACTTCGTGTGAGCCTGTGTGGCCGACTTGGGCCTGGCGTTCAAGGCCTCCCCGCTTTATTTATTGCTGCAGCCGAGTCTAATTTATGTTCCATGGACGCTCCCCAGAGCCTGGACCGGGAGCCCCCTGACGATACGTTGGAAGGATTGGGGGAGGAGGCCTGGGACTGTGGCTCGGAGCTGCCCAGGAGGACCCCCGCTGCTTCTGCTCTAGGGGATAACTTAATTATCGCTGCCACGGAGAGGGCTGGGGACTCACTCCTGCCGACAATTAGTGAAGAAGCACCCCAGCCTTCTAGACTACAGACTGGGACTAAGGCCTGGGTGTGTAAGTGAGCCTCAGAACCTGCCCAGGCCTCAAGACAGGCCGAGGAAGCAGCCATCGTCCCCAGCCAGCTCGAGGACGCCGGGGCTACCTGCCATCCTGCCCTTGTTTCCCGATTACGTCCTGTGGTGGCCCCTTAGGAAAACCCAGCTTGTCCCCTGGACAGGGTGAAGGGAGGGGCCGCTATCTGTGTCTCCTGACACGGGCCTCGGGCCAGAGCGTTATGTCCAGTGGTGCCCAGTGCACTTAGGGCAGGACCGCGTGGGCACAGGAGCCCCTGCTCACCCACAGGCCCTGGGGTGGGGTGTGTGTGCCAGGACCCACTCCATACCCTGCCTCCTGGAGCTGCGTGTCTGAGCAGCACACTAGTTTTGGCAGTCCCATCCGCAGATGAGGTCTGGATCAGAACCCCTGGTCCCATGAGACTGGTCCTTGGCGGAGCCTCAGCCCAGTGCCCAGCTGGACCTTCCTCACCCTGCAGCCGGCTCGGGAGTCTTGACACCAGGCAGGTGCTGGCCTTGGGTAGAGTCTCTGCCTTCTGTCTGGGCTGTTGCTGGGTAATCCCACCCCGTGACTGTATGGGGGCCAGAGGCTCAGGCCACACATCAGGAGCCCCCAGCAGGCAAGAGCACAGCTCCAAGTTTGGGGGAGAGACACACGGGGCCAGCTGTGCTCACCCTCCCCTAGCGCCTCAGAAGTGCCTTACCTGTGACCCTGAGAAGTGCCCTTGGGCTCCCGACAAGGCCATCTCCCCCAGCCTGGGGTCCTGCCTCACCAAAGAAATAAAGACTCCACTCTGGAGTGTCCAAGCCTTGGTTTGCTCCCCTCCCTCCCTCTTCCTCTCTCTCTCTCTCTCTCTCTCAGCCTCTGCACTGCCCCCTTTGGTAGTGGGCTACCACCCAGGCACCTGGGGTGCTGTTAGTGTGGTGAGTGGGGGAGACCCCTCCTGTCTCTGGGCCTCAGTGTGTACGTCTGGGCTGTGAGCAGCAGCCAGGGAGACAGCTGAGGACAATGATGTGTGGCCCCGGGGTGGGGGGGCAGGGTGAGGAAGGAAGCCTTTCTAGGGCAGGAGATGAAAGAGGGGATCAAGGTGGCTGTGGTTAGCTGGGGGCTGAAGGAGGTCCACGTTGGGGGCACTGCATGGGCAGAGGCCAGGAGGCTGCTGCCCTGGCTGGGGGCTGGGGGAGGGTGGTGAGGGGCCTGGGTCCTGAAGCAAGTGGGTCCGGGTCACTCAGGGAGGCAGTGGCAAAGCCAGACCCTCAGCCACGGTGAGGCACAAGAGAAGCTCGAAGGAGTGGACGCACCCTGGAGATGAGCTGTCCCGTCTGGTTATTCGGTTAACGTTTTATTTGGTCATTTTGGCCCTTTGCGTTTGGAACGGATGCTGTCTCCTACCCCACCCCAACCCCATACACACCAGGCTTCCCCGGGGCCTGTGGGGGCCTGTGGATGACGTGCCAGGCCATGGGATTTCTGGGGAAGGAGCTGTCTGAATCATTCGCCATCCCGTCTGTATCCCCAGTGCTGTTGTGGTTCCGTTGGCTGCGCAGGGGGCTGGGCCAGGGCCTTTGAACCACATCCCATATCCAGCTCACAAAGGCAGACACCTGTGTGTACACATCGGGGGTCTTGGGGTCGCCACACCAGAGTCCGGAGAAAGAGACAAGGCCATGGGCCCGGTTCCTGCACACCAGGGGCCCCCCAGAGTCGGCCTGGGGGGGGTGGGAGGAAAGGCAAGGTCAGGGGTCCATCTCTAGGCCTCTTTCCCTAAAGGGGCTTCTATGCGCAAATCTGACCAGAACCCTCCCTGCCTCGAAATCTTCCATGGCCGCCTAGTGCTCTTCCAGCAAAAACCACACTTACAGCCTTCAGGGGCCATGAGCATCCAGCTCTCACCCATCTGTCTACCCTCCTTTCCCTGGGTTTTGGCCCCACCGACCTTGCAGGCTGTTCCTGAAGTAAACCAAGCTTGCTCCAGTCTCTGGGCTGTTTCCATACCCTTGAGACCTGTTACTGTCCCCACCCAACGCTGCTGGTGTAACAATACAAGTCTGCGGAACTTTGTGCAGTAGGTGATCAGCACAGCTGTACATGGTAGCCCTGAGATGGGTCTCCCTGCCTGGCATACCTTCCCTCAGATCTCCTCAAGACTCCTTCAAATCTCAGTTCAAAAGGTGCTCCCCTCAGAGAAGCCTTCCTGAATACTTACCCTAAAATTCCCACTTTCTCCCCTCCCTTCCCCTCTCCAGTCCCATCACCCTAACTGTAATCTAGAATCAGCTCTGACCCTATGAAGGAGGTACTACTAGTGTGGCAGTTTTACAGATGGAGAAAGGTCCAGAGAAGTGAGGTGACTTCTCCAAGGCCACACACCTGGGAAGTGGCACAGTCTGGATTTGGATCCAGGCAGCTGGACTCCAGAGTCTGTGTTTTGAATCACTATACTCTTCGCCTGGAATAAAAAATCCTCCAGGTTGAGTTTCTCCCTCAGCATCAGGGCCAGGGCTGTCATTAGTCCACACAGGGTCTCAGCAGGGACTGTTTGCGATGTATACTGCCCTGCTACTGAACACTGCTTATGGGTACACAAATCTGCGGCTCTCTGTGCAGTGTACAACCTGCACGGCTGTACATGACAGCCCTGTGACCTTGGAAAATTCTTTGTCCTTCCAGGGTGTCAGGTGAGGTCTCAACTGGTCTCAAAGGTGAGCTGGCACTTAGTTCCCAAGCCTCTGCCCACCTCTCGCCCCCTCTGTAGGCCTCATCCATTTTCCCCATACCCTAGGCAGGCAGGGTAGAGACAGTGTCTTACTGAGCAGAAGCCACGCCGCCGGCGGTCCCCACTTTGGGTGCAGAGCATGGCAGGGCTCAGCTGGCCCCTCCAAGAGCTGTTGCAGACGTCCAGGCTCAGAATGCGGACCTCAGCCTCCATCAGCCCGGGCGGCAGGTCCTCAAAGTCTGATACGGAGCCCCAGCCCGCCACCTGGCACCGTGCCCCAGCCTTGAGTGGCCTGGCGTCTCTCCGCGGCAGCTTCAGCAGCCCTACTGCGGGACCCAGGACAGCAGAGCGGTTCAGCTGCAGAGAAACCTCTGAGTTAAGGGTTACCCCCAACCACCCATCAGTGTCCCTACCTCAGTTTACCCATCATGACACCTGGTCTCTTCTTGGCCTCAAGGATGGAAATCAGTAGCAGCCATCATCAGGCTGTCAGGAGGCCCTTCCCATCAGGCCTCACCCTCTCAGACCAGGCCACTGGCCTCCCCCGCGGCTGGAAAGAAGTGCTCTTCGAACCAGCATTTCCTCTGCTTGGAAGCCCTCTTGTGGCTCCCTGTTGTTCTTGGGACAATACCTCTTGGCTCACCGTTGGGCCCTCCCCTCCAGGCAGAATGAATTTCCTGCTGGTCCCTAGTCCCGCCCTGCGCCCCCCCCCCCCCCCCCGCCCCCGCCGCCCTTCAGGCTGAAACACCTTTCCTCTCCAGGCTTCAGGTCTCAGCTTAGATGTTACCTCCTCAGGGGAGACTTCCTAGACTCCCAGGATAGGACAGAGCCTCCTCTGTTCTCCCCTGTGCCCCCTCAGGGCCATTTTACTCAGCTGCCACCGTGTTGGACCAGAGGGTCTAAGGGGAGCAGCCCTGGGGCTTTTGTTCACAGCTTTAACCCCAGTGCCCGGCACACATCGGGCTCAATCAGTGTTTATGGAATGAATGACTTGGGCCCCTGGTTTTGGTACTCACTCCCTAGCCTTAGCCATGCCGCTGACCATACCCCAGCCTCAGTTTCCCCTGCTGCATAATAGGATGGGTGAGCTGTGGATTCCAGGTTTTGGGGTTTCACAGATGAGCGATATGCGAGGTTTGCCGCTGACACTCGCTGTCCCCTTCTCGTTTTGCCAAGAGAACACGGCACCCCAAGCCCTGGTGTTCCCAGGGACCTGTTTCTGTGGTGCTGAGTGTCCCCCGGTTTTGACTTTTCTCCACATTTGGAGAGCAGGTTTGAAGTGTTTTCCCTTTAAATTTCCTGGGGTGCCTGGAATTGAATTTGGGCACCTGAGTGGGAGATATGGGGGCGGCCCCCAAGCAGGAGGGGTCCATGGGGACTCCAAAGGGATGCACGCTGTGGTAGCAGGGAGGGAAGCCCACACTTATGGGAGGAGCTTCTTCCTGCCCAGAAAACCCACAACGGGCCTGGGGGGCAGGGATTGGAGTATCTGGTGCATCAGAGTCTCATGTCTTCTGAATGTGCAGGCCTCCTGTGGGCTGTCAGTGGCCACTAGGGAGATAAAAACCCCTGTCCTCCAAGTCTGGAGGTGGAGGCGGTGACCCAAGAAAGGTGGGCCGGAGGGAAGGGGTGGGGAGACGGTGGGGGCAGGGGCAGCTTGCAGAGGGGCCCTCCTGAGAAGGGGATACTCGAGCAGACTTGAGAGAGTTGAGGGAAGGAGAGAGCCGGGTGGGGTCTGTGGGAGCAGTGTCCTGGAGGGAGCCACGGCCTGTGCAAAGCCCCGGGGGTTTGAGCATGCTGAGGTGTTGACTGCTCAGTCCACCCTGAGTGGGGCTCTGAGGGGAGGGTGTGGGAGGCACGGAGGGCAGAGGAGGGATGTGACCCGACTTGGGTGCTCATGGGATCCTTCCAGCTGGTTTTCGAACATATCCATTGGGCCATCATGGGGGAGGCCTTGGACAGGCCAGACCTGAGTCCGGTTCCCCGCCCCCCAGCTCACCAGCAGCAGACAGATGTCATTGGCGTGGACGCCGGGCTGGTAGTCCGGGTGCCTGATGACGGCTGAGATGCCAAACACTTGCTGTGTAGGCTCCGGGGCACGCAGGACGTGAGCCCCCAGCACCACCAGGCCCACTCGGGGGTCCCTGTGGGAGCAGGGGGCTTAAGAGCGAGACCGCGGCCTCGGTGGCCTCTGGGACTCTGACCAGAGCCCCGCAATCGCGACCCTGCATGTCTCCATTCCCACCGCAGTCACGGTGTTCACAAATCGTGGGGCAGAGACATGCGTTGGTATCAGAACAAGGTTCTGGGGGTGGACACCGGGCTGTGGTCCTCACACCCCGAGCCTCCCCGCCCCCGCTGCCATCAGGTGAGCCGCCCCCCGCGGTGGAGGTGGGGGCAGGGCCCCCCCTTGTGGGCTCACCTGTGGCTGAAGCAGTGGGCTGCGGAGACCACCCAGCGGGCTCGGAGCAGGAAGCCCCCACAGTGGTGCTGGCCCTCAAATTTCACAGACACCATGTAAGGCCGGGAGTGGGGTGTCACTTCGTGACCCCCAATGATCCGGGCGCCCCAGGAGCCTGCGGGTGGGGCGGGACTGCGTCAGGATGGGGCAGGAAGAGGGGTGGTGGGAATGGACAGCTGGGGCCCCTGCTGGGGTGGGGGGCGGTGGGGGCCAGCGGGTCGAGATGGGCAGGGGGCAGGGAGCCCGGGGAAGGTCCCCAAGCATGCTGGGAGGGGTCTGGATCCCAGAAAGCCGGGGCCTGGGGCCTCCACCCCAGCCCCCGGCCCCGAAGACAAGTGGGGCCACGATCCAGCCGGTCAGGGGCTCTCACCTGCAGGCCTCAGAGGCAGCGTGAGGACCACAGCCACGGTCAGCAGCAGGCAACCCCGCTCCCCTGCCCTGGGGCCCATGGTAGTCGCAGGCCCGCGGCTCCTTCCAGAGCTCAACAAGACACGGCCCCCACCCTCACCAACGGCCCGGGAAGGGGGAACCTGGATGTGGCCTGTGGTCAGAGGTCGGCCAGGCCCCATCAGCAACGCCCAGTTCTGCCCTGCTGCTTCCGAGAAGCCACAGGAGTTCAGGAAATGGGGCAGCGAGGGGAAGAGCAGGCGGATGGAGAGGCTGCCTGCCAGGGGCAAAGCCCGGCTCTGTGGGGTCCTGTGACGACAGCGGTCACTCACCCTCTGTGCCTCAGTTCACCCAGCAGCACCGTGCCCACGGCTGCCTCCCGGGGTGGAGGTGAACGGGGTCTGGCCTCCACGCTGCCTGGCCCCCCGTCGGCAGCCCCACACAGACCTCAGGGCCTGTGACTATTGCTGCCGGGTTGCATTTATCAAGTGCTGACTGTATACCAGCCTGTGGCAGGAGCCTGCGGTGAGACTGAGACAGGGACACAGCCCCCTGTCCCACGGTGCTGATGTTCTGCAGGGACACGGGGTATGGGCTGGTGATCTGGGGTCATGGCTAATGCACACTTGAGCCGACCGGAGGACACGGACATAGACAGGGATCCCCTGGCCTGCAAGGCAGAGGCTTCTGAGGGCTTGGGAGCCGGGTGCTAGCAGCGGGGCCTGGGGAAGCCTCGGGACACACGTCCCCTTGCAGAGGCTGTGCTAAGACCAGAGCACTGGCCCTGCCGCCCCCACTGGTACCTCTCAGCCTGCACAGCATGGAGGGCCCAGCAGAAGAGAGTGCCTGGGGGGTCGGGTGGGGAAACTGAGGCACGGGGGCCGGTGTTTCCACCCGGAGGGTGTTCCAGGCTCACCCTGTCCACGCCTCAAAGTCCCCAGGGTCAGCAAAGGTGCAGAGCACATCCCTCAGGATGGCTCCCCACCAGACGCTCCACGGGTGTCCGGGCCCCGATGACCATGGATGTGTGCGCTGGCCTCTACCAGTGCTGGGGGTCGTCGTGGCCTGAGGCACCCTGGGCGTGGGGGTGGGGGTGTCTAGCCTGGCAAGTGTGTGTGGGCAGATGGGGAGGCGAGCTGGGGGGCAGGGGTGGGGAGAGACCCTTGGGGGCAGAGACGGAGAGAGACGGGGATGACAGCAGGAGCAGCGGCATGAGCGGCAGACATGTGGCTGTGCACTCGGGCTTTGTCCCGAGCCCCTGGCCGAGGGTGGGCTCACACACCCTCCTCCATGGCGCCCTTCCCTCGTGTGCCGGCCTGGCCCCCTTTGGGCGCTGGAGGTGGTGACTGTCCAGCTTGCTGGTGTTGGGAGCCTGGTGAGCGGTCCGCCCTCCCCACAGCACAGGGGACACTGACCTTCCTGTTCGGGGCGGTAAGGGGACCGTGTGCTAGGCTGGAGCATGCCAGGCCTGCAGCCCGCCCCAGCCCCTCTCTGGCCCAGCAAGCACGTGGCCAGGGCGCCACGGGAAGATGACTTCACCAGCTGCAGGGCCGCCATGAAGGGGCTCACGGGGGGCCACCATCTCGTGGCCCCCCGTGAGCCCACCTCCCTGGTCCCGTGGGACAGAGCCACAGGAGTGAGGAGCCGTGGACCCCAGAGGCTGCCCGGCCTCCCACTCACCTGGCACATCCAGTGGATCGCACCAGCACACACCAATTCTCTGATGGTTCTGGGCTCAGGAGTCCTAAAACCCCGGCATGGGCAGAGCTGGTCCCCCGGGACCCCAGGGAGACCTGGCTCCTGCCCTTTCCTGGCCCACGGCCCCAGCACCATCCTCCCCACCAGCAGCTTGGGGTCTGCCCGTCTCTGGGACCCCTGCCCTCTGCCTCCCTCTCATGAGGACCTGGTGAGGACGCTGGGTCCCCCGGGAATCCAGGGTCACTCCCACCTCGGGGCCCTGACAAGGTCCCCTCCGCTGCAGGAGGGGAGATATCCTGGGTCCCGGGACCGGGACGGGGACGTCTTTGGGGCCATATCTGGCCCGCCCCAGTTCCCGATCTCATGGGTTTGCTGTGTGCTGTCATTCCCATTTTACAGATGAGACCCAGAGCCTCGAAGGCAGTGGGGCAGGGGTGGAGCAGGCGGGCTCGGAGGGAGCGGCCCAGCCAGCAGCCTGGCCCCCGGAGGTCAGTGCGGCGAGGCCCACTGCTTGGGTAATAAGGGAAAGTCATTCTAAGCCGCTGTGTCTGTGGGGACAGGTCAGAGCAGTGGAAGAAGCCACCATGACCCCAAGACCCTGCGGGAAGTTCCCTGTGACAGCGGTCTCTGCTCGGGTTGGACCCTGTGTGGCAACCCAGAGCCCAGCTGCCGCTGGAAGGGGATGTGTCTTCGGGGGCCATGGGGGACTCTGCTCTGGGCCACTGGGGCTGTCGTCCCAGGCCACACTCCCTTGGGGGGCTGACATGCGCATCACCCCATGCTGCAGGGGTCCTACAGCCACTTGGGAACGTTGGTGTTGTTTCTATTCCCATGACCGGTGGAGAAACCGATGCACAGAGAGGGTAAGTGGCTTGGCCGCAGTTGCACAGCGAGGGAACTACGAGGCTGGGCTGCTGCCTCTGACAAAGGCTGATTCCGCCCCCAGCCAGGCCCATTTCCTTCCCATCTGGGGAACGCTTGTGACACATAACCGTCCTTCCTGGTCCGAAGCAGCCAAGCTCCCCAACGCCCCGAGGAGCAGGCAGGCTGGGGCTCAGCTTTTCCATTTCCCAAACGGAGGCCCAGAGAGGGGAGCCTGACTTGTCTGGGCTGCACAGCAGAGGGTCTGAAACCCAGACTGTGGACCCGAGTCTTTGAAGGGTCTTCCCACGGAGGATTTGGGTGGCTCTCCCAGTAGGAGCGGACTCCGCCGCAGTAACGGTGGTGATGGCAGCAGTGATACTCATAGCTCCCTTTACTGAACGCTTACTTTTGTTATTGATTTGCTGGTGCTCTTTATATGTAGAGGAGTTTAACTCAGGGTCAGATTAATTTCTTTTATTTTCTTTTTAAAGATTTCATTTATTTATTTATTCGACAGACAGAGATCACAAGCAGGCAGAGAGGCAGGCAGAGAGAGAGGAGGAAGCAGGCTCCCTGTTGAGCAAAGAGCCCGATGGAGGGCTCGATCCCAGGACCCTGGGGACCATGACCTGAGCCGAAGGCAGAGGCTTTAACCCACTGAGCCACCCAGGCACTTCTCAGATGACTTTCTTTTTCTGAGCACCTTTTTCAGGTGCAGAGGACACAGCCTCCCCAGGAGCGCATTTCGATTCTGCCCAATGGCAGATGGGACCCAAAGCTGACTCAGCCAGAGCATCGCGCTTTGTGAGACTGAGAACAGTCCCGCATCTCTCACCTGCGAAGGCTGGGGCTCCCAGGGCCATGGCGCAGGCCAAGAAGACAGTGGCGGTCGTGGCTCCTGACATGTGGCTCTGTGCAGGGCCTGACCTGAGCTGGGCCTGGGGTTCGGGCCATGAAGCTGGGAGGGGGTGCCCCGGAGCCTCTTCTGTCTGGCTCAGCCCTTCCCGGCCCCTTCAGGGGGCTTGTGAGAGTTGAAGTTATGGGACTGAGAGCTCGTGAGCGGCTGGCCCAGGTGGGGGTGCCCTTGAGAGCCTCGTAGCGGCGCTGATCCCTCGCGGCCACTAGTTTAACCCACACACGTTACTTCTGTCCGTTATTGTAAGGAGCGCTCCAAGGACATCACTTCTCATTTCTTGCGGCAGATGCCGGGCTGCCTCAGGAGTAAACACAGTCCCCCAGTGATGTCCCGTGTCCTGCGAGCGCCCCTCTCGACTCCGGGCCCTCTCGAGCGAGGGGCCGCATGCACCCGTCTACCTCTCTTAGACCTCTCCCGGCCCCGCACCCAGAGGCCTGGCAGAGAACTGAGGAAGGGGTGTGCAGGGGTGAGTCCCTCGCACATGGGGAACCAGTGGGTAAACTGAAGCTGGGGGTCAGAGCCCCACCAGCTCTGTCCACCTTGTCCACCCTCATATCTCCTGCTTTCCTCCTGGGGAGGGCTTTGAGGGAAGAAGCTTGGCCATTACTGGGGTCCCTAGAGCCACCCCCACCTCTGGCAGGTGACTGGGGCATCTCTGAGTGTCGGAGGGGGGTCAGCAAGGGCCTAGGTGCCCGAGGCCCCCCTTGCAGAGTCCCCATGTGCCCATCTGCGCATGGCATTGGTGCCCTCTGCCCTATGAGGACTTCAAAGTGGACCGTGGGAGATTGGAAACCAGTCATCCCGTGGGTGTTTGCTGAGCACCTGCTGTGTGTGCTGGGAAGACGGGTCCGTGCCTGGGGGACCAGGTGGATGACACCGTCTGCCAGAAGTATTAAGTGGCACAAGGGTGGCCAGAGAAGGACAGGGAAGGGGGTAGGACTCTAAAGCTGGGAACTGGGGAGACCCAGTAACCATGGGCAAGAGCGGGAGATGCTCCCAGAAGCAGGCGCGGCGGGTGCTGACGTGGGGCGTCTGGATGTGGGGCGTGGAGAATGAAGGGAGGGCAAGGCTTGGCAGGGCTCCGCTGGACCTGGGAGGTAGGCCACAGGTCCCTGGAGAGCCACAGCAGGTGTCTAATGGGGATAGGTTAGGACAGAGCTGTCCCGTGCACAGGAGAGGCAGGGAGACTCGGGAAACTGCGGGGCTGGTGACGGGGGCGGCGTGGACACAAGGCCTGAGCTGGGATCAGAGCCCGGGGAGGTAAGGGCGTCTCTGACTCAGGGACAGGGGAGGAGGGGACTTTGGGGGGTGAGAACCCCCCCGAAGTCCCAGGGTCCCAGGGGATGTCCGGCGCAGGCTGGAGCTCACGGCAGGACAGGGGTGCTGGGCCAAGCCCTGGGGGTGGCCACACCCAGGATGAGCAGAGATGGCCAAGGAAGTGGTGTGTGCGTGTTGAGGGGGGGATGTCATCATGGAAACCGTGGGGGCACATGGCCCAGTGAGGGGCCAGCCGAGGGTACAGTGATCCAGACTGGGATGGGGGCTGCCGGTGGGCACTGAAGGGAGAGGAGGGGATATGCGTGACGCGGCCTCTCCGGTCTCTCTGAGAGAAAGCTCGGCTCTGGCCCCCAGGACGCCCTGGCCCACCTACTGGCCGAGGCCTGCCTCCCCTGCCGCCCAGGCTGCCTGCTCACTGTCTCTGCCCCGCCCCGTGTCCCTGTCTCCTGGGGCGTCGCCTCCAGGCTGGTCCCCTGGAACTTGCCCGAGACCGTGGGTATTGGAGCCCGTGTTCGGGGACCCTGCAAGGACCTTGCTTTTGATCTGAGGGAGGTGGGCACCCTGGGAAGGTTAGGGCAGGGAAGGCACAGGAATATGGGGATGGGGACCATTGCTCCCATCAGCCCTCCCCAGGAGTACACTCTCCTCCTTTCCCTCCTGTTCTTGTGAAAAACGCACCCACCAATCCCTCAAACCTCCAGATCCCAAACACCCATGTCCCAGGGCGAGGCTTCTGTGTCCAGGCACCTAATGGGTCAGGGGCACAGCAGGTGCCAGAGAAATCTATGTGGGCTCCATGGACTTGGAGGCAGAAGGGCGGTGATGAAACCACTCCCCCCCACTCTTGCTGAGCACCTGGTGTGGTGTCAAACCTGGCCTGGCACCTGCTCTGTAAATAAAGCTTTATTGGCACACGGCCGCACGGATGCATTTGTGTCTTGCTCTGGTGGCCGGGACGCTGCAAGGGCAGAGCTGACTCCTCATGACAGAGACCACGGGGCCCGCAATGCTGAACACATCGACTATCTGGCCCTCCACAGAAGTGCTGAACCTGAGCTTGTGTGCCCGGCACGCTCGCACCCTCCGGCAGCCCTAGGAGGTGGGGGAAGGAAGCCCAGAGAGGTTAAGAAATAGACCCAGGGGCACACAGGCTCTCTGCCTGGGACCCCTGAGACTTCTCGGGGCTTTTCCGTGTGTTCTCGGTGTGTGAGTTCACCTCACTGTGCTCGTGCGGAAGGGGTACACATTCCCAGCAAAGAGGAAGAGGCAAAGACCCTCCCCATTCAAGGCTCATTTGAGGTTATTTCCCTCTGCGCACACACCTCCTTTTATTGAAGACTCTACTTTCCCCCACTCCAGACCCCATATGTGTTCAGGGCCAGGGACTAGTGTTCTCGTGTCCCGGGTTCCTACCCGGGACGTCGGGGCCACTGTCTGCATGTCGGTGGGGACAGGTCCTGCCTCACTCCCAGCCTGTGGGGTCTACCTGGTGACACTTGCAACGTGATGAGCTCAGGATAGACTATAAGGAACCAGGGTGGCCTCACCTTGCCCAGGCCTCCCCAGGCTGGGGAACCCCACTGCTACCCCTGGGCCTCACACTGAACCCCAATGTAGGTGTCCAGATTTCCACCCAATGTCACCCTTGTCATCCCTCCAACCCTGTCCATGTCATTGTGTCCTTCCGGGGGCTCCCCAGGAGACAGGGGGACTCTCATACCTGTTATCCCACATCCCATCTGGTGGCAGTCCTGCCGGTTCCCCTTTCAAGATCTGTCCAGAATCCTCCTGCCTCAGCCGGGTCCAGCCTCCATCCTGTCCCTGGGAGTCCCCTTCTCAGCCTCCCAAGTCTCCCCTCTTTGCTGTCCTTAATCCACTCCCCACCTGGCCGCGGGAAGGGCCTTCACAAAAATAAAACAGGCTGACCCCTCTCCTGCTCTGAAGTCTGCTATGGCTCCCCAGTGCTCTTGGGACAAGGCCTGCGCTCGGTGGGCTCTCTCCACTGCCCCTTCACTCCCTCTGGCCGCAGGGACCTGCATTGTGGCCACGGGAGCTGGGGGGCGGATTAAATGGATCAATTTTGATTGCCCAGCGCTCGGCAAAGGCAGTGTTTTCATTCCTCCCCCGACAGGTCCGGCTCAGCCCCACCAGCGTATCTTGGCTCTGGCCGGCGCCCTCCACCTGGACGCTCTTCTCCCGGACCTTCAGGTTGCAGCAGCGGCCTGGACACCCCCTCCCCGACCCCAGCCGTCCTTCGCTCGCTAGGGCTGTGTGCCCGCCCCCCCGCCGCCGCGCCCCCTCCGGGCCACGAGCTGGGCGGGAGCGGGGGGCACCTGGGCTCGGCAGGCCCGGAGCGGCGGCCGCCCTGGGACGAGGGCTGCACGGCGGGGGTGCGCGGCGCCCCCCCCCTCACTCCCGGGCGCCGCGCGGGGGGCGCTGCGGGGCGGGCGGCTGCCGGCAGGGGGCGGGCGCGGGGCCGCGGCGCCGGGAGCCGGCAGGGAGCGCGCGGGGAGCGAGCGCAGGACGCGCGGCGGCGGCGGCGGCGGCGGCGGCGGCGGCGACGCGCGCGCCCAGCCCACCCCCTGCGCCCGCCGCCGCCCGGACAATAAACAGCCGCGCGCGGGGCGATGCCCGAGCCGGTGCCGCCGCCCCCGCGCCGCGCAGCCCCGGCCGCCAGGCCTTAGTCCGCCAGCCCCCCGCAGCCCCCCGCCCGGCCCCCGCGCCCCCCGCGCCCGCCCCGCGCCCGCCCCCGCCCAGCATCGCCGACCCACCCGGACCTCCGTGGGGAAATGGAGTGAGTAGGCGCGCTCGGGCCGGAGGCGGAGGGCTGGGGGGCCGGGGCGGGGAGGAGGGGGCGAGGGAGGGGCGAGGCCCCCCTCCACTCCAGCGCCGCGTAGGGCTCATCGCGGCCCCCGCGCGGAGAGGGAGGCGGCGAGGGGCCTCCGGGACCCCAGCTCGGCTGGGGAAGCGCTCAGGTTGGGCCGCGCCCTTCCTGAGGCCTCCCCCACCTCCGACCCCGGCGGCCCACGGGCTAACGGGGACTCGGGCCGCAGCGGCGGGGAGCTGCCCAGGGCGCTGGGGAGGGGGAGGCCCGGGTGTCCGCCCGCGCCCCCGGGCTAGCCTCGACCCTGGGCCACCTGTGGGCTCCAGAGCGGGAGTCCAGGGGTGATGGACCGACCCCTCCCTACTGCCTCGCGCCGGCCTTGAGCTCACCGCCGCCCCCCATCTCCAAGCCGGAGCTCGCCCTCCCTGTACCCTGAACGCGCCAGTCCGGGCTCTGGCTGGCTGCTCTCTCTCAGGGCCACGGCGCTGTCAGGGGCCTCTGCTCCTGCCTGGGTCCAGCCGCCAGACACTGCCCTGAGAACTGCCAGAGAGAGGGGGCTGTTCTGTAGCCTTCCTTGTCCGGGATGTGTGTGGGTCTGGAGGTCCAGGTGCTTTCCAGCCGGCGAGCCTGGGTCCGGTCCTTTCCCAAGGAAAGTGTCCCCAGGATGGGCCCCCAAATGGTGTAGCCAAGAACCTGGCTGGCTGTGGTGCAGGTGGGGTGGGCCTGGGTCCTTGTGCGGTTCGGTGTGGAGCTGCTGGGGGGCAGAGAGCTCTCACACAGGCGCTGTCCGTGAGGGTGCCCGGGCATTCCAGGCAGAGTCCACTCTCTTCCTGGCATCAGGGTGACCACCAGGCCCCACTCCCACAGGTGGGCGCTGGAAGGTTGCTGGGTGTGTTTACGACGCCAGGGGATGGGAAGTGGGGTCTGGGATCCTGGAGGCCCCCAACTGTGTGCCGAGGCCTGGCAGGCACCTTGCTGTGGACCAGGTCCCCACCCTGGCCAGAGGCCTGGACGTGGAGGTCCAGCCAGCCCACCGGACTGTCTCCTCCTGCCCTTCTCACTGGGTGTGAGCCAACGACTCCTCTCCAGAGATTCGCCCGTGACCCGCAACCCGCCACACCCTCGGCTGGGTGGGAGCCGCTGCCTCCCGCCCTCCCCAGGAAGGCGACACCCGATGTCCTCTGCTTTTGAAAACCCAGACAAAAGCCCAGTTTGCTCCCCCACCCGGCCCCGGGAGCCCAGCCAGGGCTCAGGGGAGCCAGGGCCCGGATGTGTCTGCGCTAGGTTCCCCGACTTGTTTATCTGCTCTGCTCCCCAGGCCCACGGGAGCCTCCAGGCCTCCTGACAGCAGACCCTGAGTGGAGTGCGGGAGTGGGGAGGGGGCTGCTGAGGGGACAAGGGGTGAAGAACTAGGAAAATGTCCACGCAGAGCCAAAGAATGAAGGGATAGTCTTGTCGGACTCTGCTGTTTCCTTTCTTGCTATCGCCTTCATTCTCCATGGCGATACTGAAGCCCAGAGGGGGGCACACACTGCCCCAGCGTCACTCAGCACACGCAGAGACCCCTGGGTGCTTGCTGCCTTGCCCCTGTGCCTCTTGGCACATAATGCCACGGGCTCTGCGCCGCACGGATCACTGGATTTTCTGGGTGCAGACCTGGGCAGGGACTGAGTAGCCAGGAAAGAAGGCCTCTGTCTGGGGTGCTTGGGCTGATGATGGGTGGGGACTGGCTCCATCTGGTGCCATCCCGATGGAGCTCCTACCCCTCGCTCTCGCCCGCGCTCCTTTTCCAGAGGGCAGAGCGGGCTTAGGCCTGGAGGCAGCAGCTGCGGGGACCGAACCCCTCATTCCCTTCCCATGGGTTTTTGCCATCAGAGTTGCCAGAGGTGGTTGTGGCTTATGGTGATGCTGACGAGTTTGTTTTAAGAACAAACTTAAGAATTTCACAAAATTTTGTTAATGTAAGCATTAAATTAAAGATTAAATTAGTTTTTGTTAATTTAACAATTTGAAGATTTAACAGTTTTTTTTTAAAGATTTTATTTATTTATTCGACAGAGATCACAAGTAGGCAGAGAGGCAGGCAGAGAGGGGGGGTGAAGCAGGCTCCCTGCTGAGCAGAGAGCCCGACGCGGGGCCTGATCCCAGGACCCGGGGACCACGACCCGAGCCAAAGGCAGAGGCCCCAACCCACTGAGCCACCCAGGCGCCCCAACAATTTTTTTTTTAAAGATTTTATTTATCTGAGAGAGCGAGCTTATGAATGCAAGTTGGGTGGCAGGGGTGGGGGGGGACAGAGGGAGAACGACAAGCAGACTCCACGCTGAGCCAGGAGCCCAACTGAGGGCTCGATCCCAGGACCCGGCATCACGGCCTGAGCCGAAATCCGGAGTCGGATGCTTTGCTGACCCAGCCACCCAGGCGCCCCTTAACAGTGATTCTTGAGTAACTCCAGGGAGGCAGAGGGCAGGCTGCTGAGGTGGGGCAGAATGACAGACTCGCCTGAGAGCCGCTGGGTGGAAATCCTGCTCTGGGAAGGATTTGCTGTGGGCCCCAGGGCGAGGGGCTGCTACCCCAGGAGCCTCAGGGGTTGGCTGGTAATTAAGGCTAAGTTAGCTCTGAGCAGCCTTTCTCAGATGCTCAAAATCCCGCCCTCCTCTGCTCAAGTCTCAGACCTCAGGGCCAGAGCGGGAGAGCACATTCCTTCCCAGATCCCGTCCCTTCCCTGCCCAGGCCTGGACATCCTCCAGGAGGTGGTCTCGGCTGGGTGCAAAGTGGGTCCTTAGCGCCTCTCTCCCACTTGGTCATCTCCCTGTTTCACGGGAGATGGAGCCTGTTAAAAAGGCAGCCCAGTCCCCTGGTAACTGAACCTAATAAGAGTTTATTCTCGTTGTATCTGTTTTGTAATGTTTTTACTCCGATGCTTGTGGGAGCCCCTTCTGTTTCTCAGTGTTGGTAACAGTGTAGCATTTCCTTCTGAAACAAGGGGGATTCGTGGGAACAGCAAGTGGATTTGAAGGGAAAGAACACTCAGCGGCAGTGGAGGTGGTGGCAAGAACTCAAGAAGGTGGTTAACATTTAGGAAGCACCTGCTGTGTAATGGGCCCTGTTCTGAGTGCTTTGTCCGTGTGAACTTGCTGGATCTTCACAGCAGCCCTACAAGGTAGGGAAAGTGAGGTACAGAGAGGTGATCTTGACACACCTGGGGCCACACAACTGGGACATATTTGCTTCTGGGTTCTTCCAGCTGCCAGAGCTGGGGGCGTGGAGGAGTCTTTGCACCTTCCTGTGTCCCGCGGGGCTGTGGTCTGGGCGTTCCTAGGTATCCTGACATTGGCTTTTCACCCTGGTTTGTCTCGTCGGCCACATGGAAGGTGGCTTTCGCCCCTAAAAGCATCTGCCTTGTACCTGTTCACCCCCAGGGACCCCTTCTGTGTCTGCTGATTTGGGAGTAGTGCATGGACAGGTGGAGTCCTGACCCCTCCATGAGCCTTTGAGCATGTCACTCACTTTCCTTGGTGAATCTGGTGCGTGGGGACGTGAGTGCACCGCGTCCCCTCCCGGACAGGACGCAGGGAGAGGAGCAGGCAGGCGCGAGTGCCCCGGCAGGAGCTCTTCCCCAGCCCTGTGGTGAGGTCCGTCTTCAGGATGCTCGTGCTGGGGAATGAGTTGATGTTCTTCTAAAAAAATCATATCTTTTTCCAAGTCTGGGACCCTATTTCTTTCTGGCTTCTGCATAGAGGAGAGCTGTCGGGTCATTTCCGCAGCACCCCTGCTGAGCCGCCACCCGTGTGTAGGAGCAGGCCCTGCGGGAGCCCGTGGACGGCCTTCTCTGTGGTCTGGGGAGGGTTTCCTGGTCCCTCCCTTCACAGACTGTTTCTGTGCAAAGTATTTAAGGGTGTACCTAGGGGCGCCTGTGGGGCTCAGCCCGTTAGGCATCGCACTCTTGGTTTCGGTCCTGATCGCAGGGTCGTGGCGGAGCCCGGGGTTGGCCTGGCGCTCAGCGCGGGGCTGCTTGAGACTCTCCCGCTCCCTCGGCCCCTCCCGCCGCTTGCACATATGGACACCCTCTCTAGTAAGTAAATCTTGAAAAAGAAAGAAGGAAAGGTGTACGTCGGTGGGCAGAAGGGCGTGCCTGGCGGAGGGACTGGCCTGTGCAAAGGCCCGGAGGGCCCAGTCGGGGAGCCATGGGCAGCCATGGATGGTGCCCTCGGGAGGCGGGGGTGAGGTTCTGACCCAGGCTCTGGGGTCTGAGGAGCAAGTCGGGCTCAGTGTGGACACTTACTGTGGGGGCGGCTTGGAGAAAAGCGCCGGGGCTATGGGGGTAGACCCCATGTCTGGGCAGCAGAGACCTGAAGTCAGAGCTGCCCCCAGGTCAGGGAGAGGTGGCGCAGTCCCTGGACACACAGGGACAGGGACCCTTTGGCCGGGCTGCAGAGGGACCCCACATGGCATGGGATGGTGGAGTGCAGGTCTCGGTGTCCGGGGAGTGGGATGTCAGGCTGAGGTGTTTGTCTTCTGCTCAAGGGCTCAAGGCAGGAACTCAGGGACCATCTGAGCCCATCACGGGATAGTCTGGATCAGGCTGGGAATTCGGAGGGGAGCCCAAGCCGGGCTTGGTGGTGGGAAAGACAGGCAGGAATCAGAGTGGGTGGGAGTTGCTGCGTGGACGGAAGGGTAGTGGTGGGATGGGAGCCCGGCCTGGGAGAGCAGAGGGTACATGGAAGGGGACAGCCCTGTGGGGCTGTGAAGGCCAAGTGAGGGGCAGGAGCTTGGCGGGGGGACTTCTGGTGACGTCTGTCACAGAGTAAGAAGGCCCTGCCCCGGTTGGTTTGTGCTCAAACCAGGCGGAGTTCAGGGCAGGGCTGGCGTGATCTCACGACGCCCCGCGGGGTGGGATGGACCCCAGCTTTGGCCGCAGCCCAGCCCAGCGTGAGAGGGTCCGCGTTCCTGCTGTACGGATGTACGTG